TTTAAGGTCCCTTCCAACCCATTCTGTGATTTCTATGACTTTATCCAAACCGATGTGGCTGTAATCTGGTTAAATCCCTTGGGTGCCGGCATGTTATCAGCCAGGTACAAGCTGTGTAAGTGGAGGGGTTTTGAGATCAGTGCACATCACATGAAACTTTTAGGGTTAGTTTTAGGGCAGTCCTGGTGAAAAGGTGTTGCTCGTGGTCATGCCTGCGGGTCAGCGTGTGGCTCAGGGTGCAGAGCAGTCAGCACCTGTGTGCAGGGGCACTCGGACAAGGCGAAAAGAAGATAAAGGGTGAAAAGAAAACCACTGCCAGAAAGACTTTCACCACATTGCTGACAAGCTGGGTGCAGTGTGTGACAGAAAGTGTAAAAGGAGGACAAGAAAATGCAGTTTAAGGGTCATAAACATCCTTCTTGCCTTCCATCTCCCCCATCCTTTTCTTCTGGTCTTAAAAGCAAATTAAAGTGTTTGTCTCACTCACTTCTAGAGTGGGTGCTTGTATTTAGGCCTCAGAACAGTTACCTTTCCCTCATCAAAACGTGGTGTTACCAGCATAGTGCAAAACTTAATTGCATGGAAGGTGCCAGTGTACAAGGCTGCAGGGAGAGCTGCTGCCATGCTGCAGAGGCAAAATCCCCAGATTTTGGAAATCTCTGCCTTGTCCACACCTTCAGAAAGGTTAACTGAAGGGAGGTGGTGAGCAATAGGGGTTCAAGGACAGACCGTGGATCAGAAACTCCCTCTAGCTGCAATCCTGCTTCTGCCCTTGCAACTCGATGTGTTTGTGGTTTTGGAGGCGGATTTTATTTTTAATTGACAGAAATTGAAAGGGAATAAATTAAAAATAAGTGCAGGTTTCTTTCCAGCTAAAGTATAAGCTGGGAATAGAAGAGTTTCCAGTTCCATTTAAGCATTTTTCAATTACAGACAAGACAATTAGTGGGATTGTAGCATATAGTTGCTTTTCACTTCGTTAGCATTTCAATGATTTTCATTTACTTGGTGATTTGTGGGGTGTTTCTGCTGTAGGAATAGCAGCTGTGCAGTAAATGCACTTTGTGTACCATCCTTCTAGGACTCTTCTGAGCAACTTGTTAGTGTTTTAGGGGCGATCAATCTTTAAAGCACATATGGAGCTACTAGGCATCCATTTCTTGTAGTTGAGTGAGGAGAACCTAAGCAGACTATATATATATATATATATATTTAAACAGAAGTCATGAGGATGAGTGCTGATTTCATGTGGTGTGCAGGTGGCTCTGTGCATGTCAAGGAACTTATGTCTGCCTTTTTATTTTCAGGAGGATCTTGAAGCCCTGATAGCAGAATTCCAGAGTTTAGATGCTAAAAAGACCCAAGTAATTGAATCATCCTGCCCACCACCCTCACCCAGGTAAGAGATTGCATGAGGCTTTGGCTGTAACTTATACAGCAGTTGATGATGCTTTTAATGAGATTTATTTATGTAATGTTATATCACAAGGCATAACATCTGGCATAGCTGATATCTGGAATTATAAAATAGCTGGTATATTGAATCTTTGGTAAAAAAAGGGACCAAAAGCTTTTTCTTGGCCTTAAAATCTGCTTTTTAATGATCCCATCAACAAAAAGGAGGCAAAGCAAGGTTAAATTACAGGGCTTTGTGGAAAAATAAAAGTTAAGGGGAAGTTTTGGGTTTGGACTAGAAAACTGAAAGGGCTAAAGAGGCAAAAGGATGTGTCATGAGATACAAGATGCTTTATTGAGTGTATCTTGGGCTCCACATACTTCTAGGTTCTGTATTTCTGTTTCCCATGGGTTGTTAAATAAATACCTTTCTCTGTGATCTGTTTTCCCCTCTGTGAGGTGGCACAGGCCAGTACACTACTGTTCACCTCAGAGAGGTCTTACAGTGCTCAGTTCTTCCTCGGGAGTGGTAGGGATCTGTCTCCACATGGTGCAAAACACTTTGGTGGTGTGTAGATGAGCAATGGTCACAACGGTGACTGCAGAATAATGACGCAGAGAAGTTGGTATGAGACAGCCCAGTTCTAGTTATGTGCCCTCATAAAACTAATTTTTGTTCTTGACACACCAGCACATTAAAATTGAAGAGCTCACGTCAAAAGGCGTGTTAAATGACAGTGTAACGTGTGCTCCTAAAATAGGAGAAGATTTCAGACACTGTCAAATTAATCTTGTTGGAAGTTTTTAAGAAGTTAATTTCTTTTGAGAAGTTTTTAGCCCTGGGGTGAGTCTCACAGCCTAGTAATTTGGCAGATGATGGAGAGACCTTTGTGGCTAGAGGGCAGAGGTGCTGGTGCTAGCTGAGTTAAAGGCTGCGAGCTTCTGAGTTTTACAAGACTGTTACAGATCTTTTTGACTGTCCCTCTTTCTTTTGCAGGCTGAATGGCTCCCTCTCTGCTCACCCTGAGAAAGATGAATTGATCCTTTTTGGAGGTGAATATTTCAATGGCCAAAAAGTAATGTATACTTCCATTTTTTTTCTTCTTTATTCTACCCTCTTCTTGCCTTTTACTGTAATTTGCATGAGTCTCATTTGAAGTGAAATTCAAGGCAGCAGTCATAAAATATGTATTTGTCCCTGAATGAGAGCAAAATAGCCTTTTAATTCTGCCATGATACTGTCTCTTCCCTGAACAGTTGGCAGGAAGGAGACATGCTAGAACCCATTAAGGAGTCAGAGTGATTGTCTCAGCATCAATATTTCAGGGCTTCATAATTTCTCCAGACTTAATTGGAGCCATGTCTGCCCCTCATTTTTGATAACTATTGAAGAATCTCTATCTTCCAGCTTTCAAAACAAGGTACTTCTGCAGTTTCACTGCTGGCAAGGCATTGGAGATGTGTACAGTAGCAAATATTTGCCAGTGGGCACTTTTGTTACTGAATTTCTGCAAGTTGCAGGTGTTTATTGTGCTCCTGGAGACAACTCCTGAAAAGTTGTATGTACTGTAGCTTGAAAACTCAAGCCTGCCAGTGATTTTTGGCCACCTTAGGATCGCCCAGTGTGATGTGCTGAACTGGTTCTGCTTGCTTCGCTGCCTTTAACTCTTCCTGTCTCTGGAGTTGAGCAGCACTTTGGGCAACTTTAACCTGCACATCTGTGTTAAGCTCCAACTTCTGAAGTCCTCATATCTTGAGCTATCACAGGCTTAACCAAGGGTTTGGGAGAGAGGAGTCCAGTCCAGTGGATCACTCTGAAAAAGTTGCTGACTCCCAGTCTAGTGAAGGAGCTGGTTGTCCTCCTTCCCTGCCTGATGAGGGAAAGCTGCTGCTGTGCTTATTCTCCCCCAAACTCCTAGATAACCTGGGAGCTATTTCCCCAAGGCATATTGGAGCTTCTTCTTCTACCTGATGTCTGTTTCTCAAGCATCAGAGGAAGGTGTGAAACGTCAGGAGTGTGAGGAAGAGTGTGTTTTAAGGAAGAACAGGACTAAGAAGTTTGGGAACGAGGTGCTGCACAGAACCGTGTGTGGTTTCAGGTGGGAGCAGGGTTTAGTCTTGAACCCAACCCAGAGTTTTTATTTGCCTTACTAGAAGGAAAGCTGATTTTTGATGATGACCCTGCCCAATGGATAGCTCTGGTGATGTGTATTTTTTCTTCCTCTCCAACAGACGTACCTGTACAATGAACTGTATGTTTACAACATCCGGAAGAACAGCTGGTCTAAAGTAGAGATCCCCAACCCACCACCAAGGAGATGTGCTCACCAGGTGAAGTACTGGCTGCCAGAGCAGCAGTTGGAGTTGTTCTAACACTGACCTAAAGATGGATGGAAGTTGATTTTTCTTTCTTTCTGGTCCCCTGAGGATTTCTGGCTTATCTTCATTCTCCTTGTAACGGGCTGCCAATGGTGTCACTTCACCTCTTCTGCTGAGGGGAACCTGTACAAACCTTTCCAAAGTGCTTGTTCTCACTCATCACTGAGTGGCCTCATGGTAAATGAGTGTGGAATGAAGATCTGGGGTTGTATCTGTTGGGTCAGCAGGACTCATGGGGGTAACTCTTCTTTTGAAGATGAACTCTCTTTACTGCATTATCTAGGGACCAACTCGAACATCCATAATCCCAGGATGGCACAGTATTTTTAAAATGCTGGTCAGGTTATAACTTTGACTTTGACCAAAGCGCTAGGAATGGCAGAGTTGCTGTGTGTGATTATTCCCTTAATGCCCACAGGCCTCTGTCTGTGGGTATTACAGATACTGCCACTCCAGTGACATGAAAGACCCATTTCTATAGGGTGTCCCTGCTAGCACGTAGCACTTGAGCTTTGACAAATGTCCCAGCTTTACAACACGATGAGCCACTGGCACTGACTGTGTGTCCTGCCTTTGGGTTGTGATTTTATTTTTTTCCTGGGCAGATGGGTTATTTTTCTTTTGTCTGCAAAATCAATAGACAAAGTTATCTAAATTTTCTCTGGGATATCATGACACTCCCCTAGAATTCACCTCTCTGGTGCCTTTGTCCTTAAGGTTGCTGGCTGATTGTGATGATGAAGGATTTGGGTTTGTTTACTTTATGTGAACACCTGCACATTAGAAACTGGCCCAAAGACTTGTATTTTTTGCAGGTCTTTGGCCCTCGCCAGCTGTCTGATAGATTATCTTACCTGTCGCAGCAAGTGGCTGGGTGACTGGTACATTTCAAAAGCTGCCATACAGGATGAGAATGTTATTTTCCTACCTGTGACCAAAGCTCTTTAGAGCTTCCTGGTAAGATCCAATACCCTGGTGAGGTTCATACCCCCTTGTACTGCACCTAAATACCAGTATTACTCTGAGTTGCATGTGCTTTCTTGAATTGAAAGATTCTGGTTTGATATTTGGGCTACCTTGTGGTGCTTAAAATAGAATTTGATTTCAGTGGCTAAATTCCACAAGGAGACTATATAAATTTAAACTCTCGTTTCCCTAGTTGAAAAGGAGATTGTTTTGTGGGTGTGGAGTTGAGAGGTGGCCTGTTTGGGTGCTGGTAGCCAGCAGATGGCTGTCTAGCAGCTGAATCTGAGCTGAGCAGGCAGGCTGTGCAGCTGGATTATAACAGAAATAAAACAAGAAACCTATCTGAGGAGTCCTGCTTCGACAATAAGTTCTCTGATAATTAATTACAGTCGCACAGGAGACAGTTCAGCCTCATTAATTGACTGGTTTGTTGTGTTCCCTGTGACTTTATTTTTATCAGTGCATATTCTGCATTAGCTCAGAGGTAAACAGAAGTGTGTCTGTGGGTTTGGATGTACATTTTTTCAGTCTTATTTGTCATCTCTGGTCTCTGACACGCAATCTTCTGTTTGAGTTACGCTTTCTTCGTTACATCAGCTCCCCAGAGCTGAGGTGAGAATAGCTATGGATGGGTGTTGTCAGTTGTTTTAGGAAAAAGGCTTGGCTATGGAATGAATTTTGAGCCAAATCTTCAAAATGTCAGACACAAGTATGAGCAGGCTGTTGTATGTACCTTCCCCTTAAGCTTTTAAGCACTAGATGCACATGAAAATCAGGCACTTATCCCCTTTGTGTTCAGGTAACCTCATGTTCTCACAAATGCTGCTTGCAAACACACCCCAGATTTTCTCATGAGTTTAATTGTTGCATGTATAGGCTGGTCTATATCAGGGCAGGGTTGTGTGTCTGATGCTGAAAATCTTTGCTGTTTGCTGGGAAAGACAGGCAGGTAATGAAGCCCTTCTGAGGAAAAAGATCATTATCCCAATGGGTATTCTGGAAAACAGGTGGAAAAATTTGTTTCTAGTGTAAAAAAACCCAAGAGGTCCTGGTCAAGGAAGAAATTTGCACAGTCACATAGTTTCCTTTTTGGGATTCCTTCCTTTTTCCTTAGTTCTTACGCAGATAGTTTTAATGAAGTAGAGTCTTGCTCGTCTCTCCCTGATTTAACTGTCAGCTTGCGTCACAAGAATGTTTTGGTGCTGCTCTGTGCAAAAAAAACCCAAACCAAACCAAAAAACCCCTTTGAAACTCTCCTCTCTGCTACGTGCCCTAATTGAAGCAGCTACAGTCTCCTCTTGTCCAAATGCTGCACGTTTCTTTCTGTATTTGGTGGTTTTTTGGTTGTTTGGTGTTTTTTGGGTTTTTTTTTTTTTTAATTCAGAAGGAGTAGTAATGCTTTTCAAGTCTTGGGAAGTGTCAGGTTTGAACTTGTGCTGCAGTTTGGCTTCTGTTTCTTGTTTTATAATCTACAAAAAACTGCAAAGGGAAATTGTGCACTGTTAACAGTCTTTTCCAAAAGACTTCCCAACGTTCTGCTGCCTGCCCAGTGCTGGGATGTTAGATGTTTCTTAAGAGGCAGAAAGTGCCCCTGTTCCTCCCATGGCTCAGAGTTCATCAGCCTTCTACAGGATGCTCTTTCTGTGACTAAAGGATGGGTAAAACATTGCTGAGCCTCAGCTGTGGAGAGATTTCCTTTTGGTGAACAGAGAGATTTGTAAACTAAATCCCAAGATGCTTCCCAGGGCAGTTTGTAGAACTGGAACTCAAGATGCCAGGGAGTGGGGAAAAGCCCAGCTCCTTGTCCAGCTTTCCTTTGCTGTAGGGAAGATGTGCTAAAACAATGAGTAACCTGCATTTAAAATTCCCCTTCCCTCAGCCCCAGGGAGCTGCTGTTGTCAAGCAAGGCAGCAGCAGCCGCTGCCACTTGTCTGCTCTCTGGTATTTGGAGGCAGCTGCACGTTTGATTGATAAAAGTTCTCCTGTCTCTAATTTCTGAACTCTTGTCTGATCCAGCTCTTCCTTCTTTTCCTGGCAGGCAGCAGTGGTGCCCACAGCCGGCGGGCAGCTGTGGGTATTTGGTGGGGAGTTTGCATCTCCCAACGGGGAACAGTTCTATCATTACAAGGATCTCTGGGTCCTGCATTTGGCTACCAAGACCTGGGAGCAGATCAAGTAAGTAATGGGCCATCTTGTCTAGACTGTGCTTTTTCAAGAAAGGTTGGACCACATGATTCTTGAGGTCCATTCCAACTTGGTGTTGTGTTCTGAAGTCAGTGATGACCTCGTGAGGAACTGTGCCAGCATGATCTGAGTTTGATTCCTGGTATAGTGCTGTGATTTCCCAGCTGTCTGCTCATCAATCCCTTGAGTACAGAGGTGCCATCCTAGAACTGGTGGAGAGGACAACCTCCAGAGAGAAGTGGAAATGAGAGATGTGTTCCAAGTCTATTGAGGCCAAAGCTATTTTATTTAATACATGATTTTTGGAGCATGAGTGTGCTTGGGTGTTACTTAACTGAAGGAAAGAGTATCATGAACAGCACTCTGTCCTCCCAGCTGTGGCAGATGTAGATGTCCAGCTTAAAAACAGTACTTGTTGCTCCATCTACCTGGGCTTCTCCTGGCTGGGCTCTACAAGACCAGTACAAGGATCTCCTGATTTTACCATTGCTTGAGGAGACAGCTTGTCTCTCTCCACAGAGCCAACTCCATTCCTGATAACTGTCATTTGCTGCCTCAAGATTCCTTGGGATAAACAAGCTAATACTTCAGACCCATCAAAGTAAATAGGTGCCAGAAGCTGTGGTTGTTTTTTGACAGGAGTTAAGGTGTCTAAATATCTTCTGTGGATCTGGACTGAAGTCCTCTGCTGATGTCCTCTTAACCTTTGACTTCTTGATTTTGCTTCTCATATTTGCATGAGAAAGTAAGAGGTCTGATGGGTCATCCAGTGGACTGGGAGGCCAGAGATGTGACTCGTTCTGACTTTGACAAAGATTTTCTCTTGGACTTTGGGATTGTCTTTGACTGTAGAATTAGTCAGAGCACAGCTTTGGGTGGGCTTAGAAGTCCTGGGCAGCTGACCCTTGAGGTGGCACTGGGGAAAGCAGCAGCTTTTGAACACTTACTCCTCTGCTGTTGGACCTGTTGAGCTCCTGGTGATGAGCTCTGTGTCCTTCCTTCAGGTGGGAAGCCCTCAATCTACTTAGGTTGATCACTTTTCACCCTGCTGAGTGCGAATGCCCATTGTCTGTGTCTGTCTCTTCTTGCACAGTAATTGAGAGGGTGCTTTAAGACTGAGCTGTGGAGAGATGGATACCTTGGCTCTGCCTTGGCACATGCCTGAGGCCACACAGTGAGTCATGGTGCCTGTCTGCCTTTTTCCCCCCTCCCTGCAAAATGGTGACATTGGGACCGTGTGATGGGGGTGAAATTTGAAGCTTTAATTTTACTTTTTTTAATTTTACCTTTTTAATTTAAGTTTTAATGTTAATCATAGAATCCCAGACTGGTTTGGGTTGGAAGGGACCTTAAAGCTCATCCAGTCCCAACCCCCCTGCCAGCAGCAGGGACACCTTCCACTAGACCAGGTTGCTCAAAGCCTCATCCAACCTGGCCTTCAACACTTCCAGGGAGGAGCAGCCACAGCTTCTCTGAGCTTAATATAACGCTGAAGGGACTCTGGTGTGGAAGGTGCAGGGGGACATATAGAAGCAAAGTGCAAAAATCCCAAGGAGTCCAAGACAGTCTGGGTTCAAAGGATGCTTCACAGCACAGGGTACCTGTAGCCAACTGCTCTGGGAGGATCCAGGGATCGTCCTTTTCAGCAGCTCTGGGAGGCTGAGGGAAAACTGTTTCATTTGTAAGCGGCTGGTTCCTGTCCATCACTGTGGTTCTTGGCTCCAGACCTGGCAGTGTTAATCTAACAGCAGCTGTAATTTGTCATGTTACAGGGAGCCGGGTTTACTTCAGTGCACCCTGCTTGTCTTTGAGAAGTGGGGGTGAGAAAAACCCTCCAAAATGACGAAAAGTGCAAGGATTACAAAGACCTGTCAGTGTGCAGGCTGATCTGCCTATTGTTGTTAGGCAGAAGCTGACGCAATGACTGTGACTGTACCCATCCCAGCTCCCTCAAAATAACTTCTTGAATCCTTTGCTCAATCTCAGCCAAATAAAGGGGATGAACTCAAATGTGTTACATCCCTACTGGGTTCATGTAAGTGGGTGGGGGGGTCAGAAAGTGATGCTCACCATAGTGTCCCTGCTGAGAGAAAGGGTTGACATTTCAACCAAACTCTTGGTGGATAAAATCCTCACTGGAGAGCGGTGTTAATACCCAGCTGCAGGCAGAGCGAGGGCGGGAGATTGTTATTTTGTGAGCCATCAGAGAATCCAGATGAGGCTTCGTTAACTCCACCACCGATGGCGCAAATTGTTCTCTCGTGGGTTTGCAGATGCGTTGCTGTAGAGCTGATTTAGGGTTTTCCACTCCCAAAACAAATGCTGCAGTACCTGACCTGCCTGGCAAGAGGAAATGAGGCTCAACTCTTCCCATCTCTTATCCCAGGTAGGAGAGCAGCCTCGGGGATGCTGAGTGTAACTTATACTGCAAAAGCACATGAACCACAGAATCACAGAGTCCCAGACTGGTTTGGGTTGGAAGGGACCTCAAAGCTCATCCAGTCCCAGCCCCCCTGCCATCAGCAGGGACACCTTCCACTAGACCAGGTTGCTCAAAGCCTCATCCAACCTGGCCTTGAACACTTCCAGGGAGGAGCAGCCACAGCTTCTCTGGGCAGAACATGTTCCCCCCCTGGAGCGGAGCATGAAGTTTGCACGTGCTGCGAGTTGCAGGATGCTCCCAGCAGCCCCAGGTCTCAAGTAGACTAAAACCACGACAAGAGAGTGGTTGAGTTGAGTTCCTAGTCCCACCTAGGCAGCAAGCTGCAGGTACTAAGCTCTTCAGGCTGCCCAAAGCTACCCTCCATCCCCAGGAACTGGTTGTCAAGTGTCACCTTGGCTGCCAGGCCACAGTGGGAGGATGCATTTGGAGACACTGATACTTCATTGTTTCTTAGTAGATAAAAGGATACACATTTTCTAAGTGAGCATCATAAATTATAGGGGTGGAAGTGCCCTGGAGAGATGGTCTTTTCTCTCTCCCTGCCCCATGCAGGACCTATTCCATCTGTGTTTCCTAATGTCTTTGGGTGGACCTCTGTTTTTCAGCCTTGCTGGAATTTTGAAAACTCCTGTGCCCTGGTCCTAGTGTTCAAATAAAACAAAGTCCATCTCTTCCCCATCCTTGGGCAGAGCTCCAAGAGCTGCATTAATGAGGCATCTGGCGGAGGAGGCAAGGAGGGGATGTCTTTGTTTTAATGCTAACCTGACTGAGTGTGAAAATCAAGTTTCTGCTGCCTCTTTGCTTTTCCATATGGCATCTTGATTACAGTCTGCTTGGGCAGGGGAAGAGGAAAGCTCAGAGATGATTGTTGACTTGTACAGAGGATTTTTTTTCCCCTCCTTATTTTAAAACTATGATCATAACACGTACTGCATTTCAATTCCTTCAGCATTTTGCTTTTCTTACCAGGGAACCCCATTGCTGCTGTAATTGTTCCACGTAGGTTTCTCATGTCTGTCTGAAGTCAAGCAAGATTTTGGATTGCCATTAACCAGCTGAAGTGACTGGTGACAGTGAGGGTCAGCTTGGGGGCTAGTGGTTTTGGGAGAGTGAATGTATTTGGGAAGACTAAATGGAGGGGGAAGGTTGTGTAGGTTTGTTGGGTCATAGTGGGGAACCAGCCCTGGTACAAACCTTCACATAGCAGGCCAAGCAATAATTCCATGTGTCCAGTGTGGTGGCAGTGTTACCTGAAGACATTTGGGGTACAGACTGGTATTGAGTAAAACTCAGTTGAGTTTGGAAGGTGTCATTTTAGTGCAAATAATAGAGTAACATGATTATTCATTAAGAATTGTCTGTGCAAGAGAGACAAGTTTCTGTTCCCCATGACAAGAACCACATGTGCCCCGTTTCAGGTGGGTTTGAATGTATTGGTTTGTGTGGACTGAATAGCTAAGATGACCCTGCTGTCATCTGAACTTGCAATTCTAGGAAATCTAGTTATTCCAGCCCCACAACTTAGATTTCAGGCAATTGTATTGTCCTTCCTGGCCTACAGTTTGTGCCACAGACCATCTTGGTGCCATAAGAGGCTTGACTGTAAAACACTTTTGAAGATAAACCCTTGAATAACTCATCCCTGTGAATTAACATCCCTGTGCTGTGTCTGCAAAGGCTGCAGGGGAAGTGTAACTCCATAAATCTCCTAGCACAGAGCACAGTGATGCCAGTCTGCTTGACAGAGTTAAAAACTGCTATATTTAGCAATATTTACCTGTATTTACTTGCATTTTACATGCACAAAGATGGTCCAAACACAACAAATCTCAGAAGACTTGCCAGCAAGTGACTTTGACTTATTGGAACTCTCTTATCATGTGTGTGATGCACAAGGTCACCTCAGTACATGAACTGTTTGTTACTCTGTCTTAGAGCTAAGCAGTATTTTAACCTAATTGCCTCATTCCTTCCTAGAGAGAATATTCTTACTCAGCTCCTGGTGGCCCCATGTGCTCCCTCAGAGAGGGAACATCATGCTTTGGGGTTGTGCTTAGGAACTGGCAGATCCTTCCTCTGTGTAGTTCTTTGTCTTGCTTATGAGCCTGTTTAGTTGCCTGCTCTTTAATACTGGAATGTTAATGATACTTCCCATAAGAGTTTTGTGAGATGTGATGTTATAAATATTCCAGGGTAGCATTTCACAAGCGTGTGTTTAACGCTGTTTCCAGAGAGAACCGGAGCAGTCACTGCAGTGCAGGATGCCTTTCAGCAGAGGTTTGTTCCTGATTGATGGCTCTTCTCACTCATATGCTGTCTGTCACTGGAAAGATCAGGTACTGCCACACAGGGTAGAAAGATGCATTGGTGCTTAAAGAAAATAAAGGTTATTTTGGTGTATCTTTGAGTAGACATCCTCAGTCAGCCCAGAAGTGAGCTTTGTGAGCTTATTCTTTGGTAGATCAGGATCCAAATGGACTTTGCAAGGGAATTAATTTGAAGGTTTTGTGCCTTGTGGCAATTGAGTATTCACTTGTGTGCCTCCTAATTGAGTGTACAAACACATGGGCACACTGTGTGCCACTGAACAGAACACTTGTTTGCATTCACAAGTGCAGGATGTAAAACTGATCACTGAAGTCCTGGGCTTCAGCTGCCTCAAGTACTAGAGGATAAAAGTGCTTTGTCCTGAAGTGCCCCTTTGATGGGATATTCTATGCATCATCACTTTTATTGTTATAGAAAGGTTTGGAGTTTCATCTGAGCATCCTCTGGATGAAGGAATGAATAAAAAGGTAACTCACTTCTGCAGGCTGTAGCCACTGTGTAAGTCTTTCATTTTTGAATCTGGCAGCTGAATTCAGATCTGTTATGTTACTGTAAGTCCCAGAGTAACTCCACAATGAAAAGCAAATTCCTTCTGGAGCAGTTCTGATCAGACTCATGTCGAGCCAGTCCTTATCCAGACTTATCTTTTAATCTATTTTTTAAGGAAGTCTGGAGAATTTACAGCTCCCTCCCACGTGTCTGCTTTCTGATGTCAACCCCATGAAGTAGAGGATTAATCATAAAGTCTGTGAAACCATTTCCAAAATGCTTGGTTTGGACCATGAGGAATGATACAGGTAAAAGGAGACAGTTTGCATTTGGGAAACAAGTCTTTGAGCTTGCAAAAAGTGGAGTGGCAACATGATTTTCTGTCACTGCCAGTCCTGCTTGACTATGCCATTTGGTTTTTCCAATGTTGTGTTTGGAGACTGAGAACAAAGGATCTCGACTGTATGAATAATTCTATATAAAAATACTTTCTAAGAGCAGTTGTTGCAAGTTGAGGAGGGCATGTCCTTACATCAAGGGCTATAAACTTGTCTTTATAGCTGATTCCTGCCAGGTGCAACGCTAAGGAAGCTGAGATGATACCATACTGTGCAGGGTGGGGCCTCCTGGAACCCTGTTTCAGCATCTTTTCTTGGAGCTTGTATTGCTGGTCTAAAGGAAGGAGAGAACAAACAGCCTTGTGATTGAGAGCAAGTGGTGCTGATGCCAGTGAGACTTCTCTGAATTCAGATCAGGCCCCAGACTTGATGTTTGTGAGTTTGAGTTAACTGTACACTTGTGGGAACTTGGTTATTAAAACACACACACATCAATGAATAAACTTTTTATTGTTCAGGATTGATTTTTGACTTGGAGGCAACCTGTTTGAGAAACAAGGCAGATGATGTTCTCTGAGAACAGGATTTAATTGTTAATGTTGATTTTTAATTCTTTCTTTCCTTTAAAAAAAAAAAAAAAGCTTTTTAAAAGGTGCCATCCTTTGGAATAATAATGTGGGAGCTTTGTTACAAAAGAGAAAGTAATGATTTCAGATCTTGATGAAATTCATACTAGAGTTGCTATTCTGCAGGGTGATACTTAAAAATCCAGTAAATGCCTAGAAAACCTTACTCTCTGTTAGAATAAAAGGTCCAAGCAATCAGTATTAATTCAGCCTTACCCAAACGCTGCTGTTCTGCTTGGAGTTTTTCATTATGACTGGTGTGAGATTGTCATTTTTGATGGTGAATAAGGACCCTCATTTTCTCTCTCCACAAAAATCTATCACCGTGCTTTTCCAGCTACCCGCTGCCAGTTCAAGTGTAGCAGGAGGGTTGTGGGTTTAGGCTTTGCTGTTGTTTTTCCAACGGTGAGCTGGTTTCTTATTTATTTATTTAGGCCCTGATTCTGCAGCCACTTAACACATGTTAACACTGCCTATTTGAGAAGTCTTGCCGAGTTCAGTGGTGCTAACTGTGCTCACTTTGGGAGACTCCTCAGCGAGAGTGAAAATGGGATAGATTAATCCATGGGGGCAGAGAACACACAAAGCAAAAACCTCTTTTTTTTCTCTGCGGTTTGGCCTGAAATTGCCTTTGTTTTGAGAGTTCTTGAAGTTGTTTTTGTTCTCTCTCATATGATGCTCTGTCTGTGGGTGAACATGAAAGAAGGTGCATCTTCATTGCCTCTCAGGAATGTCTTTGCCAGCTGCCTGGCTTTGCGTGAAGCTTTTGGATGTGACAGATGGGATGTTTGTTGTTTGTTCCTGGAAATGGAAGTGGCACATTTAACTGAAAGGTCAGGAAGGCTTGAAAGAGCAGAACAGTGATACGTAGCTGCTTTTTAATGTGTAAGATAATAACGATGGTTTGTTTTGCTGCAGTGCCTTTGTTCTTGAGGAAATCTAAGGAATTTACAAAGTTTTCTCACTAGTTTGATGTTACAACTGCAGGTGGATGAGTGAGGACGCTATGGGTATGTGATTTCCTAAGGTGTTGAAGGGGAGTGGATGTCAGAGCCATCCTCTGGTTCTAACTTGGTAGTTGGATAAAACATCTCTGTCTGGAGTGCCTTTTTTTTGCAATTATGGGATTTAACTGCTATTCATTAAACTCTCCTGAAAAATTAATTCCTGAGTCATAGCAGAAAAGACTTCAAGACTTTGGGTGCTGTTAGAGACTAGATGGCTTATCACCAAGAATAAAATTGTTACAGCCAAATGCCTGTGTTGCAAATATCAAGTGTTACAAAAAGAGCACACATGCTGTTCTGGAGAAAAGCACACCTATGTATTAAAGCAACAAAGTTCCTCGTAGTTTCCCTTTCCAGGAGAACAGAAGCTGAACTCGACCAGCCCAACTACCAATACCTTCAATAAAAATGGACTGACACACTAACAGGAAAGAGAATTTTGCTGATAAATGGAATTTCTTTGTGTTTCAGGGCATCAGGAGGTCCCTCCGGACGAAGTGGACACCGAATGGTTGCTTGCAAAAGACAGCTGATCATCTTTGGAGGTTTCCATGAGAGTGCAAGGTGGGTTCCTGCAGGATGGCTGGTGGTATTGAATCCTCTATAAAAACAAAACAAAAAAACCCAACAGAATTTCACCAGTAACAGAAAGCTGGGCTTTAATGGAAGGATTATCCTCGTTCAGTACAGTTACTGAACTAGACTTTTATGTTAGAAAGACAAGTGATCTTGATTTAAAATCTTCAAGTGTTTGAGAAACCACTGTACCACTTAGCCAATCACTGAAGTAGCTACTCACCCTTGTAGCTAAAGCTCAATATGTCACTTTTGGCCTCTGAATCTTGTCAAAGAGCTTTGTCTTCCTAGAAACATCTCCAGTAGGCTCTCATATACTACATGAGGTCACAGCTACTCTGTCACGGGGACTGTGAAGAGACCTGAGCGATATATTGTCTCAGAGACAGTAAGCTGTGTAACTACAGTCCCTGGGAACACAGTCCAAGTTGCAAAGCCCACCCTAGAGTTACTTGTGTCCTTGGGAATTTAACCTGTGCAGAGCATTTTCCACTAGCAGTATGTGAGCTGGCTAGTAGAAAGAGAACAGGGCATATGTATATTTTTCCCCACTCCCCTAAACAGACACAGCTCCAGTCTGTTCTGGTCTTTTGTGTTCTGGTTTAAGTTACCTTGGACCGTGTTAACTGGAAGCACTTGATGAAACCTCTCTTGTAGGTAAGGAATGACATAGGTAAAAAAGAACCCAGAGAGGTCTTGCTTAAAGGAGCTTTGTCAAATGCAAATTGTTGTATTGAAGCAGTAACCTTCACCCAAGAAAATCTTCTGTATGTTGCTACAGCTCCAGAAGGAGAAAAGCCATAAATGCAAGAAGTTGAATAAGGTGTTGCACCTCTTCAGAGGTTCCTGGTGCTGTTCCTGAGGTGATACTTTATCCTGTCCCAAGTGGTAACCATTATAAAAACCTGTGATGTGCCAATTTGCTCTCCCTAGAGATTACATCTATTACAACGATGTGTACTCCTTCAACCTGGACTCCTACACCTGGAGCAAGCTGGCTCCATCGGGGGTTGGACCTGCTCCGAGATCTGGGTGTCAAATGGCTACCACTCCTGAGGGCAGCATAATCATCTATGGAGGCTACTCCAAACAGGTAGGAGAGATTTTGTGGTAAGCCAGTGCAGTGTTTCCTGGATTCTAAACCGAATAGTTGATGGAAAAACTGAAGGGGCTAAAGTGGAAACTGAAATGTGACAAACTCAGGGTGTCTGAGTGGGGCTGATGTGGTGGTCTTCACCTGTGTTGGCTGTGGAGCCCTGTGTTTTGACTGCTTGGAGAGGGCACTGGGCTTAAAGCTTGGGAGAGCAAAATTGTCATCTCTGTACTACTACTTCTGTCTGCTCAGTTTTGCAAGCCTTGTCTCTGGTGAAAGATTTGGTGATCTCATCACATAACTGCCCGCTGCTCTGACTGACGATGTTTCCACGTCAGGCTGCTGCCAGATGTCCAAAAACCACTGGTAACGAGAGTGCCTGTTGGCTTGTGGTTATGCCAGTTGGAGTGAATGTGCAGTTGTACCCTTGGATTGTTCACACACAGGATAGTTCAGGCTGCTGTGAACCAGTATTACCAAAAGAGGCATTTTGTCTTCTGCTTGTGCCTTTCTTCAAGCAATTGTGTGCTGATGGAGGAGCTTTTCTTGGTTAAAATTTCCTATTTTCCCTGCTAATCTGGTTTAAGGAGGTGATATAAGAGAGGTAGGAATAAGCAACTGGGAGAAATGACATTTTTTTGGCAACAGTGGTGGTTTCTGCCAACTTGAAGCATTCTCAAGTAGTACTTGTCTATATTCCAGCACTTGTAGGTTAAAAGCAGCAGCTGCTGGCAAGACTTATATTTTCTTACATCAGTGAAAGGGTTAAGGGAGCAGCGCTAGTTAGCAAACTCAATAAGCCAAAGAAGACTTTTGATGAGCACCAGGCTTCCTCTGCTCTGCTTCTTGCTTTGTTAATCATGGTAATTTATACTGAATAGCCCTTTAGACCATATGTCCTCATTGACCAAGTATCCCTGTCTCCATGCTGGGCAGGAGGAAGTAAATATTTCATTGAGCAAAAAAGCTCCTGCAAAAGCTTTTAATGTTGCGGATGCAGACAGAAGACCCGGATCCTGCTGCTACTGTCTCAGTGGAAAGGCATCACTTCCAGCAGCGCGTCGCTGGGGGAGGAGGACGCCTTGTTCTTCTGATGTGAATAAATGAACAAAGAAGAAAAGCAAGGAAAAGAGAGAGAAAATAGTCTGTCTGTATATTTAGAAGCGTTTGTGCCTTCTCACGGCCTGCGCTTAGGGCTCTGTCTCATCAGATGTGCGTTTGATTAAATAGCAGTAACAATACAGAGGCATTTTCTACCTGACACACCTTTGTCCTCTTCCTTTCTCTGTCCTGTTCCCTCACTCTTGAGGGTGGGGAGGAAGCATGAGCCTCCACGCTATGCTAGATGTGGATCTCTCGTGGCTACTGAAAGCAACTTTCGAGTGCACGCTGACCCCCACGGAAATATAAAAGTTGACACATGACTTTATGAGGGTGAGCTCTGTTGCGCTGCTCTGGGTTGTTTTGAGCTAATAAAAAGGAAATAGAAGGGATGGGGGAATGCAAAGCTGCCCTCAGCCTTTATGCAGGGCACTGAGCAAGGATAAGAGCTGGGTGCAGTTCCTCTCCAACTTGGAGAACAGCTTTTAGATGAAAACAACCACTCCTGTTATTAATCCACTTCCTTTGTAATAGAGAGAGGTGATAGCAGCTCTCTGATACAGCATTCCTACCAGGGACTTTGCTTGTGTCTTCTGCAGCCTAGGTGAACTTTCAGGTAGGAATGGTGCAGCCAAGGCTACAAACTCACCAAAGCACTGGACAGAATTTTCTCTGCACCTTTTTTGAGATGCAAAGGCAAGAAACCTTTAGCACACTCCTGAAAATTTAATTCAGTAAGATTTAGCCTCTCTAGGACAAACACAACTTCATTAATTTAATTCTCATTGTATCTTTGCTTATAGCCCATTGTGGAGCTGAGTGTCTCTGGGTTTACTTCAAAGTGAAGAAAGTGTGTTTGGCTTGTGTATTCCCCCCGGAGGCATTGGCTGGGGTACTCTTGGGAGAAATAAGAGGTAGAAGGTGAAGGAAACAATACCTAATTGGAGCGGGGCAGGCGCAGGAGAAGACCTGTTGCTTGTCTCCTGTTAGAGAGGCAGATGCTACCTTCAGGATTGCTGGGAAGACGTTTTTGAGCACATGAAGGCATTTTTTGCATATGAAACCAAACAAAGCACTGTTCACCAAGTCATGTAGAGACTTCTCTTCTAATAAGAGGCAGGATAAGTGCTGTAAAAAAGGTGTGGATTTGTGTGGAGGACTCCTGAGGCCAGAGCTGCTACCAAGCATGTATATGGTGTGAATTGGTTTGGAGGGAAGAGGAGTGGAAATCATAACAGCTCCTCTACTTTAGTATCAGTGTGATGTGGCTGTCACATTTAGGAGGAGAGTTGTGGTGTGGCAAGGCTGCTTTCCTGCGACGGGCAGTTCTGATGCATTATATCCTGTGGTCCCTTTAGCCCTCGTAAATCTGCTTGAAAGTGCTGTACCTAAATAGCTGTGTGGTGTGGTGTGGTGTAATGCACGTTTTCCATTGCAAAAAGAGGTGTAAGCCTGGGAGGTTCATGATTGTGCCTGGAATTTTAGGCATCTTTGTACCCAGGTGGCTTTTGGGGAAGTGTTCTCGGCCAGTTTGGATGAGGCTTTGAGCAACCTGGTCTAGTGGAAGGTGTCCCTGCTGATGGCAGGGGGGTTGGGACTGGATGAGCTTTAAGGTCCCTTCCAATCCTAACCATTCTATGATTCTATAAAGCTGGAGCCAAGACTATGAGGTTACAGCCAGGGATGTTCTCCTGATGGAGTGATCAACCTGCCCATCCTCAGTCTGGTCAGCAGACATTGTGAGCTGGGAAGGCAGAAGCCAAGAGATTTGGTCCCTGCTTTGATTTGCTGGACTTGATTGTAGAACTGAGCATGGAGAGTTGGTTTCAGTAGCATCTGTCAGTCCAGACCGTGTTGCTGAATTCCCTTGATGTGACCTGAATATAAAGTCTCTTTCATGAATGGGGAAATAGAGGCAGAAAAGATGAAGTGACTTGTCTAAGGCACTCCAGTCCTTGTACACAGAGCCAGAACAAGAACCTTGGTACCCAGATGTGCCTTTACCTCTGTCAGCCACTAGATTTTGATGACCAAGTGATGAACAGCCAGGATTCAGATGGTGAGAAAGGCACTTTACAACCCTGAGCACAACTGATTGGTGCATAAATTGAGAAGAGTGTGCCTGATATTTTAAAAATAAGGCAAAATTCTTAGCACCATGGTGTCCTTGTGTTCATCTGTTTGGTCTTCAGCTTAGAAATGATAAAGGCGACTTCTACGATCCCTTATAGAAGGGGATGTTGTGCCTGAAACGTACCTCAGAACCCCACAAGGAGCTCAGATTTGCTCTTCTGCTGATCTTAAAGATGTCCTCGCCCGTTTCTGATGCTGGGGATGGGGCTTGCTGCAGCGAGCTGCTTTTTTGGCTGTATGAAGCAGTGAGACCTCTCTATTGCTAGGCAACGTCAGCGCGCTGTGCCTGGCTGGCGCTGCCAGTGCAGCCGGGAGGTGTCGGAGGCCAACGCTGCTCTACCTTGCAGGTGCAAACAGCCTACAAACCATGGGAGGGCTGGAGTTACATACGTGCAAGGCTTTTGGATGCTAAAGATGACGACTGTGTGGGGGTTTTTCGGGGTTTTGGGGTTTTTTTTTTTTAGTGGCAAGCTTTGCAAAGCTGAATTGGATTCTGTGGAGAGATTGCTTGTGGCAGGGCTGAAGTGTTTGCTTGAACTGCAGGGTGTGGTGGGACTGGTTCCCTCTGCCTGCTAATTGGATGTATTTTGCTACTGTTGATCTATGTTATACAGGGGGAATGCTGATTGCCCTTCTTCTCAAGAACAGCTCTCTGTGCCTCAGTTTCCTTGCTCTTTGAAGGCACATAAACAGGCAGCTTGCTGTCAGTGGAGCTAGGGGTTTGTTGGGGTTTTTTTTTTAGTTAATGGCTGTAAAGCTCTTGTAACCTGCTATTGTATCTGCAGGTGCTTTGGATATCCAAGCCAGTTATGTGCTTGAAAGCAAACACCTAGAACTTCAAGGCAAGAAGGGACAACAAGAGGAACAGGAGCCTCTTATGACTGATGGAGTGATTTGCTCAGGGCAAGCGGGTGTCCTGGGTGCAAGGGGATTGATCTGTCCAGTCGCAGCGTACTGCGTGCTGGTGAAGTGGCTGCTTTTGAGTTGGGGAAAACAGGCATCTCTTTGACAACAAATAACTAACTCCCACTCCACCTCATTGGGGTTTTCTCAACCCAAGAAGCTTTGTCATGTTGCATACGCAGTGTGTTTACTACAGGGAGCCCTGTGTGGTTTGCAGGAGAAAAATAACGCGGTTATTCTACGCAGCTCGTACGATAGCGAAGCCAACTGCTCTCTCATTAGTTGTTATTTCCCCTCCTTCTGTGCAGACAGCACACATCTTACTGTGCTTCTGCACACATCAGCCTGTGAGTCCCCTGCCTTTATGAATGTGTTGTCTGTCTAGCATTTAAGGACAAACTGCAGCCTGCCTGGAACTGGGGAGGAAATCAGCACCATTTCCGTTATCATTAGCAGCCAGGCACTCCACAGGCACTGGGGCACACACTTCAGTGCTATAAGGTGTAAAAGCTCCTGCCCATCTCTCTCTCTCTCTCTCTCTCCCTTCCTCTCCTCTACCCATCTATCCCTGACAAGCTGTTTGCTTAGGTGAGGTTTGGAGGGATGTTTGATTAAGGTGAAGGACAGACTAAAAAGGCTGCTCTATCTCAACTGTCCAAAGCCTGTAGCTCTTTGGTGACTTCTGTGTGACAGAGACAGCGAAGTATGACATTGTCAGAGCATGGCACTCGCTCAGCACGGTGACTCACAGCCTTTTGAACTTGAGAGCTACTGCTGTAAATGCCACAATACATGCAGAGCCAGGCTAGGGATTGGTGTACTCAATACAGCACCTTTCCTAGAAGGCATTTCTTCCCCTTCCTGCCCTGACAGCACTTTCTCAAGAGTCTGCTCAAAATGATGGCTCCCAGCCCCTCCAAACATGTCTCCAACACCAGAGCTCCTCTAACTGTGCCTCAGAACCATTCACCAGTGCAAAAACTTGTCTTGCTTGTTTTCCATGTGCTGGGGAACTGGCAGTGGCTGGAGGAGTCATCACTGTCTAACCTCTTGTTCAGAAAATAGGACTGTCACTAATACTTGTTCCTACAGGCTCCCTGTCCCTTGTGTACCTGATGCTCTGTTCCTTGAGGACAGCAGGTAGAATAGTGCAGTTGTTGACTCCATGGAAGTGGTTGCACAGAAGAGGATCTCTCCAGTGTAGACAAACTGTCTTGAAGATGGTGTGTGTCTTTCAGTGTGATAACGGGCATCCTTAGGTGCATGTGGAGAGCAAGAAGTACGTGAGCCACAGCCCCAAACTAACATAATTTCCCAAGACAGCCCTACAGGCAGACCCTGGTCCTTAAGTTAACTGAAGCTTCTCTTTTGCCACACTGTGAGCAGAGCTCTCCTGTTTCCACCAGCAGCACTTCATTACCAGCCTTCCCCCAGGCTTTTCAGCATCATCCAAGTTACAGCTTCGTTGTGCAACGCCCTCAAACACACTTCATTTCCCTTTCCTCTCTTCTGCCTTTCTAAGAATTGATTACTCTTTGCTACCAATTGGAGAGTAACAACAACAGGCAGTAACAACACATTAGCCTGCAGTAACAGAACCTGTCAAGTTCCAGGCACAGGGTTGGGTACAGATGTGCAGCAAGAGCAGGACAGCACCGTGTTGTTGTGCTCTCGGGTGCATCCAAGCTCTGCTCATCTTCCCCAGGACTGGACCCAACCCTCCCAGTTTCTGCTGGGATCCATCTGCCTGTGGTTATGCAGCATAGCAATGCCATCACCCTCAGGAGGAAGAGAATTACAAAGAAGTAGGGGCTCTGCATGAAGGGATGGGTGGATAATGACATTATTAAAAGATCTCCTACAGTGGTGTTGCATAGTGTTGCTTTCAAATGCTGCATGTTGCTATGAGCGCTGGAGTACAGGGGCTTACAGTGAAAGGAGCAAGGGCATATCTCATTTAAAATGATGCATTTAATTGCCTCAACTGAGGCCTGATCATGCTTTTGCTGGTGTCTTGCTGTTGCCTTTAGTAGGGGTGGAAGTGGGGTTTCTGTTCCCTTTCTATTTAGGAGAAAAAAAACCTGTTGCTCAAGGCTCTGTGGGGCCCTGAATGCTAAAACTGACGGCTGCAGGCAGGCTGTGGGGCAGAGCCAGCTGTCACCTTTGCTTCTCTTGTAGTGGGGTGGAGATGGAGGGGGGTGGCAGGGACTGAAACTCTGTGTGCTAGTCACAGATTTATACTTAAACTTGGGCCTTGCAAATGATACAGCACAGACGCTCTGAGCTGCTCAGCATTCGAGGGCAGAAGCCCAGAGGGCCTTGCAAGCCCTGTGGAAAGTTGTCGTGTGTCACTTTGGTGGGGTGGTTACCTGCTCTCTTTTACAGCTAGAGGAGCAAAGGCACAGATGGTAAATTAGTCCCTTGGGAGCACCTGGTTCTCTCTGTGGCTGAGTAGAAGGCAGGACCTTGGGTCTCTCCTTGGTGCTGCCTGTCCTTCCTTCTTTCTGCAAAACAATCTGTTTTAATCCCTTGTGACAATCTATCTCCCTTCTCTGGGTGCCAGAATTCCTGCCCTTAAGCTGCATTCTCTAGTCTTCACCTGCCCACAAGTCCCAGGGTCTGTGTTACAGCCTGGTTGTCCCAGGCAGAAGTTGGTTGTGGCTCCGAACAGGAAACAGTCCTGGTTTGAACACGATGGTTATGAGTTGCCTGATGCTCCAGAGCCACAGTGTGACCACCTGTGTGGCTTCTCCTTTGCCCTAGTCTCAATGTTTGTGTTTTCAGCACGGGAATGTACAGATTCAGGCTGGGATGGTGAGTTCAGAATGTCACATACTGCCATTCTGGCTTGGGTTGCTTTCTAGGTCTTGGAGAGTTGGACCTCTTATGTTTTGGGCCACTGAAACTGTTTCACTGAGCGTCCCTGTCTTTCCCTTCTCTGCAGAGAATTAAGAAAGATGTTGACAAAGGCACCCTGCATACAGATATGTTCCTGCTG